TCACTTGAATGTAATATAACTAATTCATATCTGAAATGCAGATGGATCATTGACCCTCCACTAGATGTGACTGTCCCAGCAAAACGCACACCATGGCCAGATGTTCCTCCAGAGCTTCCTTCTGGTGAAAAGTTGGTCACTATGCAAGAGCACACCGAGAAGCGCCCACCAAAAACACGATCAAGAAAACGTAGTTCTCGGGGAAAGAGAAAGCATGCAGCAAAGAACATTGACGATCATCATTCAACCAGGCAATCAGCGGAGAACTAGTAATAATCATCTGTGAATTCAGCAAGTTTGAAGACCACGCTACTATCCTTTGTCTCGTAAATAGGAGAAGGCATTTCTTACAATAGCAATTAAAATACATACTACCTGTCCTTCATTCAATTATATCTTTGTATTCTTTTCCACTTCTTCTGTCCTATTTTTGGTCTTTAGTCTTTTGTGTAATTGAATTGTTTCTCAGTTAGAAGGGTGTTGGTGTTTTTGGTGTTGTCACTGTTACCAGACTCCTTTCTTGCCAAAGCTTTGTATTCATGGCTTGGAGTTTATATATGTAATGACAACATCTAGAGATGAGAAAGTTTATGCTCAAATCTTCTTCAAAATAGTGTGTTTGATGCCCATACATAAACTCTCTTACACATAATAAATAATAAGCTGTTTTTTCGATACTTTTTTTTCTTAACGTTAACTAAAGAATCATAAATGAGCATTTACATATGAACTGGCTGGAAACCGGTGTCTATAGATTTGTTCACAGCATCGAGCACGAGCTGAGTGATTCTGCTAGTATGAGGCCATTTGCTCTCAGGTTTGCTTCTCGAAAATTTAATGGCCTTAACCAGGCTAGCAAATTCTTGAATCATATAACCCTCTTGTGGTAACTGAGAAGTTACTTCAACTACCTGAGGTTTCACGTTCCATCCGATATGAAGATCCACAAACTTAGCACCAGATGTGAAATTGAACGAAGCAGAGTCCTCTCCAAACGGGAGAATGAAGTCGTAGAGATAACATGTCCCATTAGAGCCATAAACTCGCAAGTCCATTGTCTCGTGTGCAATGAAAGAGCAGTAAAATGTAGCAACGGTTTCCTCTTTTTCCCAATACAAGGAGGCACTACATGTCAAGATAACTCCAGCTGAGTTTCTTGCAACATTAGGCAGTGCAGTCACAGTTGTTGGCAAAGTTTGGTTCATAGCCCACAATATCGCCCCAATGCAGTACCAGCCCGCATCTCCCAGTGCCCCGAGAGCATCCAAATCTGGTTTTACTCTGATGTTATTTTCAAGAAATTCCTGGCCTGGAGCATATGATGATGAGCTGTGGATCTTAGCAATGAAAAGAGCACTTGTATAGGTTAGTTAGACAATCATCAGTAACATTTTTGGAACAAAGTTTAAACATATCAAAATGCATAAATCAAAATATTCAGAATTGCCGCTGACACCTTAATTATCAAACTACATGAAGAAACAAATGGTGAATTCTAGAATAAGATGGTGGCTTATTAAGTGATAGGTCGAAACCCCTGAGGTCTAATGGAGTATAGGTCGAAATACGATGGATAATGTGCCTGCCCTCTACCATTCTCTACTTAAACACTAGGCTTTTGTCTGAATCAAGGTTTGAACTTGTGACATGCGCGTAACCCACACATTACAAGCTGTGTGCTCTTAGATCATAGCTCGGAGTCCCCTCAAATACAAGACAATTCGCCAGCCCGAATACAAGACAATTTGCTAACCGTACAAGCTGAGCTCTTACTAGTTACCACTACACCAAAGCTCGGGGTCCAAGTACCCCAAATACGAGACAATTTGCTATGAGCTCTTATCACTACACCAAAGCTCGGGGTCCAAATACCCCAAATACGAGACAAATTGCTAACGATACACGCTGAGCTCTTACCACTAGAACAAAGCTCGTGGACAATTCCAAATACCTCAAATAAGGGACAAATTGCTAACGCCTAACGGTATGGATATAAATTATCCTAAAGTATAACAAAGTTAAAACTAAGATATAGCAGAATTGTAAATTTGAACATTTTACTATAACTAAAGTAGGCATTATACATAAACAAACATTCAAACTTAACTTCAACTAGCAACTAAAGACTCCAACTTTTTGAGACTCCGCATCTTAGACACCTCAACTCATCTCCACTGCATCACATGAACACTCCAACAGAATGTGTCAAGTCAATGTTGGGTGTCCACGAGACAACATAAGGACGAGTCGAGTGTTTAATTTGCTAGTTGAGACCAAGTAACTAAACAATCCAACTATGAGAGAGTCCACATCTAAACACCTCAACTCGTCTCCACTACATCAGTTCAACACTCCAACTTTATGTGTCACGTCAGCATCAGATATCCACGAGACACCATAAGGAACAAGATGGAGTGTTCGAGACCAAGCTGAGGTGTCTAGATATGCCATTAAAAAAAATACCCTCTAAAACTTACAGCTTTAACTTGTCCAAATAGTTTAGAATCAAGAATCATCTCCTTCATTTTCCCAGTTCTTGGATGATGATACCACATACTAGCATCCATAAACTGAACCCCATTTTTGTCACAAGCATCAAGAATCTTATCCAATTCTTCAACATTCAAAGCAGTAGGCTTTTCCAACAACAAATGTTTCTTCTTTTCAGCAGCTAAAATTGCCCAATGAAGATGAAAAGTAGTGGGTAATGGCATATACACAGCATCAACAAAAGGGTCATCAAGAATTTCACTGTAATTTCCATAAATCTTCAAAGAATCAGAAAATAAATTGTTCTGGATTGCAAAGTTGTGAGCTTTTTCAATTGAACGACTTGCTAGGGCATAAAGAGTAGAATTTGGGGATAAATTAATAGCTCTTGAGATTTTTCTTGCAATTTCTGCACATCCTATGATGCCAAAACGAATTGGAGTTTCATCATTTGACATTTTTGATGGTTATTTTTATTTTTTGATGAATCTTGATTATAGTGGAGATAGATAGAAGTGAGAAAATATTAGGTGGCATATGGTATAGCCACAAAACTTGGCGGCTCCTTTCTCAATCAGAGATCTCGATTTTGAACCTGACTATGAAAAAATCTTTGTTAGAAAATGCATCTCTCGAATGATGGATTTGGATTAGTCGGTCCCTTAAACCGTGGTCTTGATTTCGAACCCCAGCTATAAAAAAATCTTAAGTAGGAGTGCTTCTCCGAATGACGAATTTAAATTAATCAAACTCTATTGTGGGCAACGGGCATCAAATGGGAAAACAAAAAAAACGTTCATTTACCAATTCAAAAACCTTCTTTAGACTTTATTTTATATCAAAATTCCCAATCTAAGATTATATTTGAATTCACTATTTAAGTTTAGAAGTTTGAATCTCGAAATTTCAATTATAATACATAAATTGGGAGAGAGGAGTAATATACATATTTTGTTTTGAATAGTCCAAAGTGCAAAATTGGACTATTTTTCGTTGTTTTAGAGCAATCGTCAGTAAAAAGGGTATTTTTGAGCTACTTTGCTATTTGAGCAAAAAAATAACAATAGGTAAACGGATTCATTTTGAATTATTCAAAGATATATTTGACCATTTTCCCTTTTTTTTAAAGTCATTGTAATTTATATTAAAAAGAGTCAAAATCTTGATATTGATAAGACCATAATTACAAGATAGAGAAACTGTTTCCGATGCACCTTGGCACAAAAGAAAAGAAGAATTCAAAAAAATTAACATGCCACAATAAGACTACAAGTTAGTAACATAATTATTGGAAAAAGAAAAGTGCATCAATCATACATAAGAAACAACATACTTAGTGAAATCTCACGAGTGGGCCTAGGTAGGTAGAGCATACGCAGATCTTATCTTTACCTCGTGGAGGTAAATAGACTATTTTTCAGAGGACCACCCATCATACATAAGAAACTAATGATTTCGGAGAGATCAAGCTTTCTGTAAAAATTACTATGTCCTGATCAATGCTGGCCTGCATCCATGACGCAAATGGTCCAGCCCTGATCATTATCCATCTGTTCTGTATTATTGTTTGACGACTCCATTATGATCTTCCCTGAAATTTAATTATAAAAAATGTGGTTGGTTAACTCTTATCTTGAGCCTTTTGGTGGGGTAAGTCATTAGAACGTAGCAGCCATGGGCGGATGTTCACGTGAACCTAAGGCCCCCCTCCTCCCTCCTCATGTTTCAAATCCATAAAACCGATTTTTCTCCCCTGTCCTCTCCTCATATCATCATTTATGTATAGTTCGCTAGTCAATTTTTTGCTCCCGTAATATATATAATCCCACAAATGAGGTTTGGGGAGGGTAGAGTATACGCAGACCTTATCTTTACAAAAAAATACAATAGTGAAGAAAACTTGATAACTAATAAGGAAATCATTCATAAAAAGGTGCTGCAGACTACCACTAAGCCTACCCTGACAAAAAGCGACAACTGGCTAACCTACCTACTAACATTCTACTCTAATCTGCGACCTCAGTACACATTTATCTAAAATCGTGTCCTCGATAATATATTATATAAACATTGAATCAAAAATTGAAATCCAAGAGGAAAAAGCACAAAAATAGTATACCTTTGCAAATTTGAAAGGAACGTCTTGATTTCTTCTTTTTCTGTTGGCTATTAAACTTACAAACATCTTCTCTATACATTATTTGTTTAGGGTGGTGTGAGGCGGAGCCAGTTTGGGCCTAGGGGTTTACTTGAAACCCTTTAATAATGAAAAATTACACTATTTATTCATATAAAATTAAAATAATTTTCCATGTATAATATATATATATATATATTAGTTTTGCGTTTATTTGCTTGTACCATATATTAAAACATTATGACAAAGGTATATTTGAACCAAAAAATAATAATAACGAAAGGTAAAACTTACTCATTTTGAATAATTAAGAGATACTATCATGTTTGTAAGACAATTTATTATATATATACGTTTTTCGGAGGACCATCGATCATACATAAGAAACTACTGATTTCGGAGAGATCAAGCTTTCTGTAAAAACTACCATGTCCTGAATGCCAGGTTGCAGCCATGACACTAATGGTCTACTGGATGTACGAAATTGAGTTCCGCTACTTGGAATATGAAAGCAACTGAATAGCAATTCACCATCCGCAAACCTATATTTCGGAATGACTCTATAAACAGAGGGATCTTCTATAGTAAACAAAGCAGTCCAAGATTCCTTGACACCATAGTCTTTCAATACCCATAACTTTAAAGTTTCCAAATTCAGATCCGGAGAAAAAGTAATAGAATAAACAGATAGCATTCCATCCAATACTAAAACACCAAGATAGAAGATGCCTACAAAAGATAATATTTGCTCTGGCAATGGTATCTCTCCATACACTTCTTTTGAAATACTAAATAAAACGAGAGAATATATTCTCGAGCCACCAATCCAATGTGATCTAGGGTCTATTATGCTACCGATCCAATGAAATGTCTCGTGTAGAAATGCCAAACAACTAGTACGAGTCACCACATTGGAAACACCACGAGGATGTTTATCAATTTTTCTCCAGGAACCACCTTTCAATGCAAGAATTTCATTATATCCTTGATCACAAATTCTAAGGATCTTATAGTCACCGCTAGTTGAATCATAACCAAATCCATAACAAGTATAGTCACATATCTCAGAGTGTGGAGCGGGAAGTACTATTGATTCTCTTATGGAGGGGTTCCATAGCAAATGTATTGGGTGTTTATCAACCATAATACCAGAAACTAGGACAAGAACAAAGCCATCACAACCACACAAGGCTCTAAAAAATGGTTTTGAGCTTAAAGGGCGATCAATTTTTTGTGCATCCTCACCCATTTGAACCGACGATAAAGGACAACAGTAGCTGGAAAATCTATTTTCATTCATGCACATGTGAGTAATAAGAGATTTTTGGGAATTTTGGTCGTTGTTGGCACGCTTGAAATGCTTCATCTTAAAGTAGGGATCGGAGATCAATATATTCCATAATTTTGAAACACATTTGTATTGATGAAGAGATCGCACAGATAACCTGCTAAGGATGTTCATAATTATTCCTTCTTCGAAGTGAACTGTCAATGCCTAGATAGGACAAAAAAGAGTGTTCAGACAAACAATAGAATCTGAATTAAACTCAACTAATACCATCGGAAACTGACCTGATCAACATCCATCTGCTCTGTATTGTTTGACGACTCCAATACGCTCTTCCCTGAAATTTAATTTAAAAATAGAATAGTGGTTAGTTAACTCTTATAGAGAGGCCATATCTACGGTATTGGTTCACGACTTCACGTGAACCTAAGCTCCCCTCCTCCCTCCTCAGTTCATATCGATCAAAGTCAAAGCGTGAGCCTATTAGTGTTATCCCACAAATGGATGGGGTCTGGGGAGGCCTCTAGAGTAGCTCAGTGAAGAAAACATGACAACTAATAAGAAAAACATTCGTAAAAGGACTAGTAACAAGTGTGATAACCGAAACACAAGAATAATGCTAAAACTGTTGGCGATAATTCATAATTAGCTAACCTACCTACTAACATTCTACTCTAATCCGTCGCGTCAGTACACTTGTATCTAAAATCGTGTCCTCAGTAATATATATTATATAAACGTTGAATCAACATTGAAAAAAAACACACACACACACAAATATCAGCAGAAAGAAACAAGGGGCATAAATACCTTTGCAAATTTGAAGTGAAGGTCGTAATTTCTTCCTTTTCTGTTGACTATTAAACTTACCAACATCTTCTCTATTCATTATTTGTCTAGGCAGAGCCAATTTGGGGCTAGGGTTTATAGAATAATGAAAAATTACTGTATTTATATAAAATTATTTTTTATGTATATATTTTTAAATTAGTTTTGAATGATTTATAAACTCAAAAGTTCTTGAATCTTACTTCAATGTCTCTCTATTTCTTTCTATTGAAAATAACTAGTAAGGGTGTACAAAATCGAATCGAAAACCAAATTAAATCGCAAACCGAAAAAAAACCCGACTAGTGGTTTGGTTTGACTTGGTTTGATATTGAAAAAAAAAAACTCGACTATATTTGGGTTGGTTTGATTTTAACTAAAAAAAACCAATCCGAGACCAAATCAACCCGACATTATATATATAATTATAAATTTTTATTTTATACATAAAAATATTTACTTTGATATAATTTTTAAATATTTCTTATACTTTTTCATAGATTTTATCTTTTAATATATTATTTCAAGTTTGAAACTTAAAATTCTGAATGGTCCAATAAAGATTATAGTTCACAGATGTTGGTAATCATAATAAAGTTTAAATCAAAATCAAATTAATACTAGTGCAAAAAGGAAATCAATTCAACACTAAGAATGACAATAATATTGAATATTTGTTATTTAGTTTTACATTGATTTAGACAATTAAAATACATAATCTAATTTTAATTTCCTTTAATAGTTAGTCATGTAACTAATACTTATTAAACTTATTTTTAGCATGATTTAGTACTTTTAAATTATGATCATTTCCATTATAACTTGTTAATTTACAATATTTGCTTTACGCGATTTCATTATTATTATTTTTGTTGGATATTTTAGTGTCATTAATCATATCATATTTTGTGTTATTTTTTTAAGAAACACCTTAGATAGTTGTATTTTGGTAGGACTAAAGAAATATTTGAAGTACAAATAAATTATATGTTTGTATGAATACTTTACCGGAAAAACCCGAAACAATCCGAAAATCCGAAAAACCCAAAAAAATCCGAAAAAACCCGAGGTTGAAAACCCGTGTTTTATTGGTTTGGTTTGGTTTATAAATTTAAAAATCTGACACAAATGGTTTGTTTTGATATTTGAAAAATCTGAGTAACATCGTTATTTATAATGGTAAGAAACCAAACTAAACTAGGACTAGAAAATTTATTTCAATATGAATTAGGACAAACAAATCCTAACTAGACATGAATTAAATAAATACTAAATAACAAGTCCTAAACAATTTAGGATTCCTATTTCCTACTCCAACTTCGAATTATTATTCCAACATTTCTGCGTTTATTTCTTCGTATCTTAAACCCTCCTTAGTGAAAACATAACGACAAAGATATATTTGAGCCAAAAATATAATGACGAAGGTATTTTTGAGCAAAAAAAATAATAATAAAGGTAAAACTGAATCATTTTGAATAATTAAAAGATATCTTGTTGTAAGACAATTTATTGTACAACTTTGTAGGTGAAATCAAGAAGGGGGTGTAAAAATATTATGCATATTTAAACAGGGTAATGTAAGAGGGGTGTGAAAAAAATTATTACCGTGGAATATGAAAGTGAAAATTTGAAACGTGAATTAATATTTAACATCTACTGAAGAATTATGTTCACCGTAACTATAATTTTATAAGTAATTATGTGATTTAAGTAGAGATTATATTTTTTATTGATAAGGGTAAAATGGTCTATCAATTTTTAATGAACATTTTGATAAATCAACTTTGGACTTATAAAAAACTTATAATATATATGGTGTAACATAATTATTGGAAAAGAAAAGTGCATCGACCATACATAAGAAACAATAACATACCCCGTGAAATCTCACAGATTTGAGGAGGGTAGACCATTCGCAAACCTTACCTCTACCTCGTGGAGGTAAAGAGGTTGTTTTCGGAGGACCACCAATCATACATAATTAGAAACTAATGACTTCGGAGAAATCAAGCTTTCTGTAAAAGCTACTATGTTCAGAAGGCCAGGTTGCAACCATGACAGCATTATTATATGGACTTGAGCAATCCTTCCGTCTAGACTTTGGAGACTATGCCCTCGGTTATGATCCATATCGAGCCGTGATAAAGAATATCAACGATCAAAAACCATTTCTGTTGCTGATGGAGAAGATGTTGCTTCTATTCCTTTAGAGAAGTTACTTGCTGATATTGATCCGAGGGATATTAATATTGAAGAAGATGGCATGAGGGTGTGAAATGGAATGTCCACATGTGTGATTTTTCTGAAGAGTCGTGATCAGAACGGTTGTGATTTTTCTAAATGGTTATGACCTTTTTGATAAGGCACGATAAACACCCGTTCATACTACTCTTTGTTGTTATAAATAGAGGGTCTCCTCTCGTTTTTTAACAACGAATTTCCTAAACTTCTTATTATGCACAAACAAATTCTAGTGTACTTTACTGTCGTTGAGTGGTTCGCTGAAACTGTGGATTTTGGTACCAATATACACAGATCGTTCTTTTCAGGGAGGATATATTCTATTAATCTCGAGTACTTGAGGAGATTAATTTCCTTAAGGCACACTGTGTATTCTGTGGGTTCAATTTTCTTCTTTTCAATATTTGTTTCTGTTTTGTTTTAAATTATATTTTCTTAATGATTTTAACTTTCTGAAATATACTTTAAATTTTATTATCTCTCACAAAATTTTGCAAAGTTATATCTTAGTAAATCGGATTAAACAACAGTGGCAACTTAATTCCTTTCAAACTCTAAAATCTCCTTAATAAACCAAGACTTTCTATAGATTGTGATTTTATATGGATAATGGATGCAAAAGGCTAGAGTATATAATTGTATATAATTTTAAGAGAACATTTAATTTACCCAAAACATTTTTTTTTTTGTAACATTTTGATTTCAGCTTTCCACGTGACATTTTTAAGACCACAAGATTAAAGGGCAATTTTATACATTTGACATAACTTTAATTTAAGAACACAAGATTCAAAAGTAATCTACTTTATTTTCTTAAACTCCGTGTCAAGTCAAACTAGATCATTCTTTGTGAAACAAAGTGAGTATTAGACAGTAAATAAAATAAAGGAATTCCCCTTTTTCTGCAAGTGAAGTGAGCTCTGTCTAGTGTATTTTTTCTTCTTTGACAGGACAGGAATATGGAAGGTGACTGTTACCCTTGCAGATTTAATCAATCGGTTTGTCATGAATGTGCATTGACACCTCTCTTTTCTAGTCACGAGAATATGAAGGACCTAACAGAGCTCCTTGAGTGGTTTGGTGGTAAGAAGTATCTAGAGGAGCTAAAAGCCAAATTATCCAGTCTTCCTCTTTGTAAGGAAGAAATGGATCGAAGTTAAGCCCCGAACAACAGGTTGTTATCAAGACAATTTTTTAATTATTTTCTTATCGTCATTTCTATAGTTATATATTTTAACTATTTATATTATTTGCAGCATGACTTGTTACCAACTTAAGCCGTGTTATGGTTGTTGGGTTGGTGAGGACAGCCCAAGCTGCATTTCTTTCCCATTTGGGAAGCTGTTCAATGCACAAAACTTAGAACAGTTAGAGATTCTCCTGTTGTCTCGTGAAGGAGATTATTATGTCCTTCGTGAGGACTTTGGGCCTAACGTCCAACAAAAAAATATTATAAATAAATTATAGGAACTATGGGAAAAGGAGTTTGTGATAACTCCCGTTTGAAAGGAGGTTTCTGTAGATAAAGGATAGGGAAAGTATGTTTGTCAAGATAAAGGGAAGGGAAAGGCAAAAGAAGTAAATGAGAAGGTTGGTGAAAAAAAAGTGATAAATGAGAAGGGAAACAGTTTTGGATAAAATACTCTCATATTTCCATTTTGGATTCGCAAGAAAGGGATGTAGGAAGTGTTGAAGTGTGTGACCATCTCATCTAAAAGTTTAAGCTGTACACTTTAATTATTTGATTATATTCTCAACACGCCCCCTCACGTGTGGGCCTGAGTCAGGACCTCTGTCTGCTCTGATACCATGTTGAAGTGTGTGAACATCTCATCTAAAAGCTTAAGCTGTTAGAGAAATCACAATTTTATTATTTGATTATATTCTCAACAGGAAGAATCATGGCTCAACTACAGCTGCCAATGTAGCTTCTACTTCTACTGCCCAAATTGATCCTACAATTGCAGCTGCTGATGCTGCTTCTACTTCTACTGCACAAGTTGATCCTACATTTGCAGTTGTTGATGCTAGAGATAAGAGGACTTTGCTCTACATGAGGAGGGTAACATCTCTTAGAGCCTATTTGAATTGTTTTCCATTTTATTTACTCAAACAAGTGCTTTAAAACTGTTTTTATTTCAATTAGACTGATGTTGATAAGCTCTGGGTCATATATGCAACGCTTAAGTCAGCCAAAACATCCGTTGATTCAGCAATAGCAAAAACTGAGACCAGTCTTCAGACCTTGACATGACAATTGCTAAGACCAAACATTTTCGTGAGCACCTCAGGAAACAGCTTGCAGTGTTGAAGCAGGACAAACATAATTTCTGGTGGATTATTAGTTTCTTACTTTCTTGTATAGACTACTAATTTGATACCCTAATATTTTGAGGGTATCATACTGCATTGTTGATCAGTTCATTGTTGCAAGTACCTTATCTCAATTGAATGTGGTTCTAACTTTGTTAATAGCAATTGTGCGGTTCATTGTTGATTGATTCTTTCTTGCAAGTGTCTTCTTGTGGATTTCTAACTTCAATGAGAAATTGCATAATTCTAACTTCAATGAGACCTTATTGTTCTTTTAGTTACCTGTACATTTCTACTCCAGGATCATTTGGCACTGAGTTTGTGTCCTTCATTGCTAGCTTGTTTGTACTAATTGAACATTACCTTTTGGTCTATAAAGTTTGAATGACCATATTTTGGATCACATAAAACAGCTAAATCATATGAATAAAACAAGCATTTAGAGGAAGTGAAGCTCCATGACAAACACAAACACTAGTTCAGAAGGGAACAAATCCCCCAAGTGAAGTTTAAGGAGGGTAGAATGTACGCGGACCCTTACCACAATTGTCTCCGAAAGACTCTCGGCTCAGGTTCAACAAATTTGTTCTACTATTACTTTATGAAGCTACTAACTTGCCCAACATCATCAAGGCAAGCTGCCTTTTTGGAAACCACATCGACGTCTAAAACCACATACTCGATAAGTAGCCTTTTTGGCTTATGTGGCATCCAAACATCTCTCACGCGCTTTAACTACGTCGTAAGTAAAAAATGTATAATATTACAAGAAAAATGAGTTTGGGGATAATAAGATGTGCCTCTGAGATTTAGGTCATAGTTTAGGGGGACTTGTGCTTTATCCCCTAAAAGAAAATATAATCCACAACAAAACAAAAACAAATATTGAAAGAAAAAAATATTGAGCCCACTAAATGCACGATGTGCCTTAAGGAAATTAATATTCTCAGTACTCAAGGTTAATGGAATATATTCTCCCAGGATAGAATGATCTTACTCACCGGCAACGACAGTAAAGTGCACTAGAATTTGTTTGTGCAGAATTATTACTGCAATCCACACTTCATTCGGACAATGTAATTTTAATTTATTACAATAGTTAGAGAGAGAAGTATTGAAAACACCCTTAAATTTGAAGCGAATTATTACTATATCTCTGAACTATTAACAGCCTTAAAAACACTCATTTATTTAACTAATTGAACTTAAATACACTCTCAATCTTGTAAAATGAGTAAAATACACCCCTAAATTCTCGTTAGAGACGTTTTCAACACTTCTCTCGATTTTTTTTAAAAGTGTCATGCTCCTACAGAGTTTGAGACCACTTGTTACGTCATGTGGCAGATCGGAGAGTGTCGGGGTGTATCTAAGACTGTCAACAATTCGGGAACGAAACTAATAATTTGCGTCAAATTTAAGTGTTTCCAGTATATCAAATTTTAAAAAAAAATTGACAAAATTTCTCATTGATCAATTTGTGCTAGATATCAACCCAATTTTCGATTGACTGAGCAGAAATGAAATGAGCTAATAAATAGATGAGACAATAATCAATCCGAACTTCAATAGATTAGACGAATTACGATTTCATGAGCTAATTTTGACGGCAACAAGAAAAACTAACTTTCTTCTGTTAATTCAAATTCCATTTAAACCCGCCAGAACCCACACTTTCTCTGTAACAAGAAAAACTAACTTTCTTCTTTCTCTACAAGCTCTGTTTCAATGGCAAACTCTGCTTCAATGGCGATCAACCCCGAATCAGCAAAAGCTCTCTTCGGACCCGAATCGTACCCGCTCATCAAACTACTAAGCCAGCTCAACAGCGATGACGATGATCTTCGTAAACCAGCAAAAGCTCTCATCGATTACACCAAAAAGAACTACCCAAATTCTTTGATTGAGAAACTTTTCGAAACAATTCAACGTAGCCAGCCATCATCGCGTACGGGTATTTTCTGTTACAAGCTTTTAAGCGATATTCTACTACCCCTTTGGCCCAAACTTTCATCAACTACGCAAAATGATTTGATGGTTAAGTTGTATTACAAAGTTTGTCGTGAAAGCGATTATGAAACACTAAATGCTTGTTGTTCTTGTGTATCGAGTATAGCGGGTTTGCTTTTCCCTAAATATGAATGGAATGATTTGTTTGTCTTGATGATTGAGAATTTGGGTTCGGATTCGAACAGAAATTTGGGTGTTTTGCTTTTATGGGATGAATTGATACCGAAATGTCCTGAGATTTTTGTACCGTTTGTTGATTGTTTGATTGAGGGGTTTACAGATCTTATGCCTACTATAACGGAAGAACATCGATCTGGGGTTCTTGCAGCTAGGGCTTCTGTGAAATTGATTTTGTATTTGTCAAACCCCGCCAGTTATTGCAAGTTTTATGGTCTTTTAGGGCATGTTCTAATGACTTTGATAATGGCATGTTCCGATGAGGAGGTTCTTGTGTGTAGTGTTCTTGAGGATTTGATTGTTTTAGCTGGTGTAGAGACCGCGTTTTTTGAAGGTAATATTGGTGTTGTGTTTGAGTCTATGGTGAAGTTAGCTGAGTGTTTGAATTTAGGGGAAAAGTCAAGGCAACTTGCTATAGAGTTTGTTGTTACTGTAGCTGAGAATAGGGAGATTGGGTGTGGGATGATAGAGATTGTACCAAAAGAAGAAGTAACTAAGTTGCTTAATGTGTTGATTAAGATGTTGGTGCATATTGAAGATGACCCTCGTTGGAGAAATGCAATTAGTGATGATAAAAATGAAGGGGAGTTGAGTATGTGCAGTTATGGTATGGAGAGTCTAGAGAGGTTAGCAATTGCATTAGGGGGAGATGCAATTCTGCCTAATTGCCCTGCGTGCTTGTTCAAGTTCTTGGATGAAGAAGATTGGAGAATTCGTCATGCTGCCGTTACTGCTATTGGACTGATATCAGAAGGATGCTCAAAGGTAGGACTCACTCGGAATCAACCTCTCTACCTTACTCCTAAGGTAGGGGTAAGGTCTACGTACATAGTACATCTTAAGTTCTAGGATTACTTTTGGCAACTGAAATATGTTTTTTGAGTTTGATTTCTGGTTTGGAAATTCCCAGGCATTGTTAGTGGAGATGGTGAAATTTGGACAGTCTATTGTGAATCTAATGTATGATAGCCACCCTCGAGTACGTTGGGCCACAATTCGTACAATTGGTCAGCTATCAACCTATCTGAGCCCGCGTTTTCAAGAGGAATATCTTTGGCAGCTCCTTCCAGCTTTCATAGAAGTATTGGATGATTTTCATAATCCCAGGTTGCAGGTACTGTTTATGACATTTGACCTTTGCAGTAGTTAGCTTTTGAGCATCTGAACTCTTGACATATCAAAACTTGTCCACTGCAAGCACATATAGTTGACGACTGATATTCTCTCGTGTATAGACACGTGCAGCTTCAGTGATATGGTTGTTCAGTCACAATTGCCGTGCAGATGACTTGAAACCTTACCTGCACAAAATAGTGAGTAAATTAGTCGGGTTTCTACAGGTAATGTCGCCTTTACCAATCTACAACACACTCATTCGTCCACGTGTATAAGAGTAAATGACATAAGCTTTTAACTTGCTGCATATTCTAGAGAGGAATGACAATGAGGAAAGAAGCAGCTCTTGAAACTTTAGCCTCTTTAGCTATTTCATTGCAGGTACTTCGCTTTCAGCGGTTCAAAAAGAACTTCTTTTGTTTAAATCTCTGGTGTTCTAAACTTCATTTTCCTGGGATACTGCAGGAAGACTCTGCTTACATATATGATTCTATAATGCCTTATCTGAAAGTTATCTTGGAAACTGCTACTAAAGATACAAGTCGCACGCTACTTGCCAAATCCATGGAATGCATTACCAGGGTTACAATGGCTTTTGGAAATCAAGCAATCCATGGTTATGTTGAAAAGGTGAATACAATTTATATCTTTTCATTAGCACTTAGCAGGCATTATATAATGTGACACTATCAACATATCTGAAAATGCATTTACCTTATGTGATGTTCCATTTTAGGTCACTGCAGTACTCATTTCACTGCAAGAAACTCAAACAGAGATAGAAGATCCAATGAGGAAATTTTCATTACTGGTGTGTTGATACAACTTAGAATGTTGTGCAACTTCCATTTTCTTTTCAGTTTTTGGCTAATTTACACTTGATTCTATGACAGGCATACGGTAGACTATGTAAATGCTTGGGGGAAGATTTCCTTCCTTATCTAAGTCTTGCCATGCCCATTGTGCTAAAATCTGCTCAGCTAAGTGTTTCCAATAGTTCAGATACAGATGATTCTGATGATGAAAGGTTGGATCTTCCTATAACTTGTACGAAATTTAATTTACATGGATGGGTGTAGGTATTAGTACTATGTAAAGATGTAGATGGTTGTGAGTTTTCGTATTTTTGAATTTCATTTCACCATGTATTACATGCTATACCATATGAAACTACTATGTTGAATCAGAATGTAAAGAAAGTGAATCCGTTAAGTGACTTCTGCATATCTGCCTGTTTATTTAGAGACAACATCTTGTAGTCAAAGGAAAACATCTGATCTTTCCAGGCACTTGAGGTTTCACAGATGTTTTATGAGGTTATTAGTCACTGCACTTAAATAGCACTGTTTGATGAGATAAATTTCCATTACTAAAATGCAGTCTATTGGAAACAGCCTCTCTACCTTCAAAGGTAGGGGTAAGGTTTGTGCACACACTACCCTCCTTAGATCCCACAAGTGGGATTACACCGGGAATTGTAACCTGAAGTTGGTTGCAGGAAAAAAGTGAAATAAGCAACTTATTGGAAAAAAAATTATTGAGGATGTCTTCAGCTGACATAAGTATCTTCTGTAGCATGATTAAAGTCACCGCTGGGAATAAAAAGATCCGGATAAGAAGTGCACTTCTGGAAGAGAAGGCCTTGGCCTGTCATATGCTATGCTGCTTTGCAGCAGAGTTAAAGGGACAGCTGCATTTATGGGTTAATGAGGTCTGTCTAGAAAATTACAGGTCATAGCTAATCTCTTTTACAAGGCTTACAAAGGAGCATGCAGATTTTTACCTAACTTATCGTTTATGCAGGTTGTTAGTGCTTTAGTTCCGAATCTTACCTTCGAATTCAGCGAAGAAGTAAGAATGACTGCCATTTCTGGTAAATTTTCTACAAGAGTCTTCTTCTAATCATTTGTTTCCGTATTATAAACCAAATCTGATTGTTTTCTGAATTGCATTTATTCCTTTTGTAGCAATGCCGTTACTGTTAAATTCAGCTTCTTGTGCTATGAAGAAAGGGCTTCCTGTAACAGGTTGTGGCAAGGCCCCAGTTCAAAAGCTATCTAACACTATCATCCCATCTTTGCTTGACGCGTTAAAGAAGGTAAATAACCTAGTATTGCAGCAAAAGTTTAATCAATATTGATACGATCCTAAGGAGGTTCTGCTTTCCCTTTAGGAGTCAAAGGTACAAGTTCAAGCAAGACTATTGGAGGCATTCAACGAAAGCATTCAGGTCATTAACTCTTTTGTCTTCTGTATAGCTTATTTGTCTGTGCACTAACAAGTACTTACTCACAGATTCCGGGTTCACATCTAAGTAAACATCAGGCTGAAAAATTTGTTGAAGGAATTTCAAAGGTTCTCTTAACTTGCTCATACTGCAAAACAGAAAGAGAGAAAAGAGCTAAAGAACACACAGATTCAAGGGAGCAGAAACTACTTAAGGAGGAAGCTCAACAACACTTAACTATATGTAGAAACGTTAGTGTTTTATCTCAACGGAGCCCTCTAATATATATATTACTTAACAGGATCTTAGACTTACCTTCGTCGGTTTCTTCTTTTTTTTCCTGAATTCAGATTGGCATTTGCCTCGAAACTATGGTGAAAATACTTAAGGCATCATTCTTGCCCCTTTTAGACAAGTTTTTGCCTTATGTATCACTTATGTGGGTAAGTGTCTCTTTCTTTATGATGTACTATACATATAATTCAATTCATGACACCTCCTGAAGCATCAAAAGTGACTAAATTGAATTAAACTGCTAATTCTACAGGGAATTTTTATGGTTTCTTTGGCCTTACACATTTCCTTTTCACTTTTATACGCACTTCTGTACAGAGTAATGATAGAACAGCAGAAGAAAGAAGAATTGTAGTGCACCTTTTCCGTGAAGTTGCTGAGCAGTGCCGCGAAGAAGCATTCAGGCAAGTCTTATGCGATTTTCAATGTCTTGTTAATCATGGTAAGCTCAATTGGCTTAGATGAACATCATTTTTTATTATTATTTTAAAAATCAGGTACTATGAGGAGTGGATACCTCTCCTGCTTAAAGTTTACTATCACAAGGATCCAGATGTTCCACAGGTTCTATTTTCCCCTTCTTTTACAATTTGTTTCCCTACTAAATCTCTCGTATATCCTTCAAACCTGACGTGTTCCTTATTTTTTTTCAGATCGTAGCAATTGCAATTGGTATTTGTGCTGAATTCGGAGCAGATTTCCTTAAACCTCATACTGAAGGTAGCTTTGTGCATTATAATATGCTTAAGGTAGCTAGTGTCTCCACTAGCAGCACTGACTTGGCTTTTTAATGTTTGCAGGAATATTCGGTTGTTTGAAAACTGCATTGGAGCATCCTAATGCAAAATACCAGGATAACATCATGGCTTATGAGGCTGCTGTTTATACCTGTGGGAAGTTAAGCCAGTTTCTCTCAGATGATTTCTACACCTATGAGGTGCTCTCTTACTACTGCTTCCTAAAACTTCATACACTAGAACCCATAACAAACACTCGTCACAAATCTACGACTTCTCTTGACTGTAGTTGGATAAACTTGTCATTTATCAACTGACATATTATAAACATTCTTGTCTCAGTTCATCCAGCTCTGGATTAGCCACTTACCAATAAGGTGTAATCTGGATGAGGCTAAAATCAGTCATGAACTACTTTGCTCAATGATAGAGATGTAAGTATTCCCCGTAGCCTATAACATTTAAGTAATCAATGATTCTCAAAACTTCAACATATCGTATGCACTGCTTGCACTGTGCCTTGATCTTTCAGGTTTGAGCAGAAAGTTATTGGCCCTCAAGGATTTCATATACCGAAGATCATAGCAATTTTCGCTGAGGTAATTTTCCCTTTCTATACCCTTAATCTTGATTTGCAGTTCCATATATGCACTAAGATTCCCTTCATTTCATAATTTTTTGTCTTTATTTCATTTTTCCTATAGGTTTTATGGGCAGGGAACAACTTGGCCACAGAAGAAACTAAAGGGAGAATTATCAATCTATTGAAGAAATTTCAAAGGGAACTGCAGCCTCCTGTCTTGTCCAAAACATTTGAAACATTACCTTTACCACATCAAAACTTGTTGCGCACTGTCTTGTCCACCTTATAAACTGTTTGTGCAGTAGATAGATACGTGTACAGAACGGAAATAGCTAGCAGGAAAAATGGCAGACTCATACTTGTAGAGTGAGAAAGATTACTGTAATAAAGAGTGTGAATGTACACAAAGGATGAAGTAGTATCTGATTGTAAAGGAGATTTTTGTGTATGAAAGGAAGTTACTATCCAGATTTTATGAAAATAAGATCTAAACATAGATAGAATGTTACCTGTTAAATCTCTCCCCCGATATCATTTAGTGCGGAGGTTGTGTCCTTCATTGCTAGCTTGTTAGCTTGTTTGTACTCCGTCGAAGTGTGCTAATTGAACATTACTTTTTGGTCTATAAAATCTGAATAACCATAATTTGATCACATAATACAGCTAAATCATATGAAGCAAACTCGAAATAAAACAAGCATTTAGAGGAAGTGAAGCTCCATGACAAATACAAACACTAGTTCAGAAGGGAAGGAATATATGGCGTAAGATAAAAATAGACATCAAAAGATCATTATATTGAAATAACTAGAATTTGTTCTATTAATACAACAACAACATACCCAGAACGCAGACCTTACCACTACCTCATGGAGGTAGAGAGGTTGTTTCCGAACCCTAGGCTCAGGTGCAACAAATTCATTCTACTAATACTAGACACAAAATTTATGAAGCTACTAACTTGCACAACATCAAGTTCCGGTTCCAATTCAGGAGTCTTCAGTTCACTCCCTTATGCCATCTTCTTCAACATCAATATCGTTCAGATCAATATCAGCAAGTAACTCCTCCAAAGGAATAGAAGGAACATCTTCTCCATCAGCAACAGAAGTAGTTTCTGATCGTTGATATTCTTTATCACGATACAATGATATGTTGAACCTCATATCAGGATTCTCCTCTAAATCTCTCAAGAAATGTTCATACTCCGAGTTCATTTTTTGTTCTTGATCTCTTCCCTTTCCAGAGTTATCGATTTCCATATTGAGTGACTTAAGCTTCCAAGACCGAGGCTTCCCACGTTTCTTTTGGTGTTTCTCTTCATAGCTTTTCTTAATCAATATCACCTCTGGAAGGACAAGACCTTTGTATTTTTCAAGCTCAAAATCATTACTATTGGCTCGATATAAATCATAACCGAGGGCATAGTCTCCAGCATCTAGAAGATGGCCTAGATGTGTTCTTACGGAGAATATTGTGTCATTTTTCCCGAAATCAGAAACACGAGCAACTTGGATGTCAGCTAAAACATACTTCGAGCCTCCAATATTAACTTCTTCAGAAACCACATCAACGTCTAAAACCACATACTCGACAAGCTGTCTACTAGATAGTAAAGGCTTAAATGATGCCCTCCAGTACTGATCAGCATCTAGGAAACAATGCCTCAGAGTAAACGGATCTAATAGAGAGATACTGTTGCTTACTTTCGTGCAGATCACTAGAGGACCGATATTCCCTAAACTAGCTGCCACCTTTGGAGGGAGACATATCAGATCCTCACGACAAACTGGGCTGATTTCTACAGAGAATGTGTACTTATAATTGACGATATTGCTCTTATGATCATGAGACGCGAGTTGCTTGGCGTTTCGGGTCCTAACAAGTACCACCCTACAGACAAAATCCACAAACTTCAAAGCATGACTTCTATGACCAAAGAAGAAATCAATTCCCTGATCCAACTGTTGAATCTTTATAGCACGATTAGCAGCATCGTGCTTAATAATCAGCTGCTCCAAATAGAAGAACGTTCTTCGGTGAGACACGTGCTGTCTAAGTTGCACCGCAGCCACCCATTGATCAGGATTAACTTGCACCTTCGAACACGAATCACACATTTGATCTTGGACAACATACTCAACGATGTACGACTGTTCAAGAACAGCTCCATTTAGTACCTCTTTTTGGACTTTAAGCCTAATTTTGATCCTTTTCGAATGAGGCTCAGTCCAAATAAACTCGGCATTCACCAACTTAACTTTATTCAAATTCTTCAACTTCTTGATACAAAAAGTGAGTAACTCCTTCGATTCGAGCTGTGCTTTGATCCAACTCCTTGGAGGCTGCAAATAGCCATCACATTCAGGGCAGTGAACAATCACTACATGTTTCTGTAAGTCTTCTGTTATATCAACTTCGGATCGCAAGCATTTAGCACACATATTTGCAGCATTTGGCTGCATCGAGATTCCGCATTTGCAGCATAACACATTTCCTATGGTTTGTTGTACTGTAAACATTCCCAATACTTCTGCCATACCTACCGCGAAAAAGAACAAGATTTGCATAAATAATAACTCAACAAATGAAACATAGCTTTCCATAGCAGATTATTAGAAGCAATAAGCTACATAGACTTTCATTTGTGTTCCGAAAACTGTAGTGTCTGGTCCAGCTTGCGCAGAACTCGACTAATATACGCACTAATATTACACGGTACCTTCTACCTCCAAGCAGTACACTGAATTACTCTGTCGACCAAGACTTGGGGAAATGGACATAGATATCCATTTTGAATTATTTAAAATCGGTCTATTTCCGACATCATATTCACAGTTAGCCTATTCATCCTAGTTAGCGATTCCAAGTCCGTATCAAGGTCACGATCATATCGTCACTAGCATCAAGATAATTTCTATAACATATTAATTCTCATTTCCAATTACCCTTTTGTTTGTGTTAAACATGAAACAAAATGAAACTGAAGAATTTCTTCAAAATAGCAACTAATCCCTCTGTTCTAATTAACAACTTTTTTACCATCATTTACCCTCTCTATTTTCAATTTACGCATCTTATTTTCCTTCTTAGTCTGTTTAAAAAAGAGCATCACTTACATATATTAACTCTTTAATGTATTTATTTTTTAAAAACTCACATATCATAACTACGCTCACAAAAACTCAATTATTATTATTTTTAGACAACCATCTTCGAGGCACCTCGACTAATTCAATGAGATACCGACAATAGGTACCAGGTAACTCTGTCCACTAAAGATAGGCCAAAACTCAAAAATCTCCCTTATTTTCTTAAATTTCGTATAAAATTAAACACAGAAACATAAATTTCGTATCAAATCAAATTATGACACATAAAATAAACAGAGGAGAGTAATACAAATGTCATTTCAATGCAAGTAAAAACTTACTTTTAACAAAAAAAAAGTTAAGAGATTGATATCCAATTAACAGTAATAATCAAATAAAAATTGATTAACCACCAAGAACATCTCATAATCCTTTTAACAAATCTAAGATTTTAAAATTGAAACAGAAACAAAGACACCCTTTTCTTCCAAGAATCAAATGAATAATTAAGAAATTGAACATCACAAATAAATTACTATAAGATTAATATTACCTGATGTTTGGAGTTTTGGTTGATCAAGAATTGGAGTTTTGTTGATTAAGGAAAGAGGAGAAAATTTATTTAATTTAAAAAAAATATATATATGAGAATTATTTATTTTGTTGAATTTGTTGTTTATTTTGGACCTTATATAAGTTTTATAATATTAAATAAATAAATGAACCTAACCGACTTTAGGAAAAGACCGTGGACGTCACGGCTTACTATTATATCCTTTTGTTGTGTTGGGGTGATTTACAATAATAGCCTTGCACGTGGATGGTATTGAACTTTTGACTCGTTTTGCCTTCGTGGTTAAATTTTTAAGTTTGATAATTTTTTACTTTTAATCTTGAAAATGTATGTATCTATGAGGTAAGTGGGAATTAAAAGTTCCACAACAACAACTTATTCAATGAAATCCCGTAAATTAGGTCTGGGAGGATAAATTATACGTAGATCTTACCACTACCTCGTGAAGGTAGAAAAATTGTTTCTGAAAAGTTTAAGATCATCTATTTTCGAGATCATTGCATCTAAATTTCCAATGAGTTGTCAATGGCTTGGGCCGTACGTAATTTGCTTGGTCTGCATTTGGTTGCATCTCAAGTTATATGACTTGAAACACGAGATCGGGATGATAAGTATTTTTTCATTTTTAATCAAAAGTTTGTGTCAACTTCAAAAATTTATTTAGTTGCAAATAATAGAATCACAATTTAAGATTTTGTCAGTTATCACAAATGTCAAGTGACAGACTAATATTTTATCAGTAAGATTGAATAATTTATGACTTATGAAATGCCATGTAAATTGCTACGGTGTATAGCTAAAACAATAACCGGAAGTTTCATAAGGAGACTGGAACAAGCTATCATGAGACAAAAGATTTTCTTTTTAAAGAAATTCTGTTTGGAACTCTTATCTGTTCAAGATTCACTATTGAAATAATTTCGAAGGTTTTCCCTGCTTTGTTCGTGTCAACAAACAATTTGAAACACCTTAACTTTTTTAAAACAAATCAGAGTCAAAATAGTAATCATTCGAACCACTTATTTTTATACTATTACGTAAATCCAATGACTCAATTGTAGCAGAAAGAAGAAGAGGAAGGCAGATACTCAACTTAAAGTGAGTAAAAAGATTTTCATATCTTATCAATACATATAGAATTCTGCGAAAAGTCGTTTTCGATGAAAGAGTAAATTAGTCTAGAAACTAATGGGTTTATTAAAGTGGGCCGACTTTGGAGTCCATTTTTAATGGGCTCTCTTTTTGGGCTTCATATGGATTTAAGAGCACAAACTCATTTAGGTAAGACTAATGAGTATAGAAAGCCCAAATATACTAAACCATTGCTAACTTGGGAAATATATTGGCATAACTTTCATGGCAAAAACTATAAAACAATTTATTTATTTTTTAAAAAAAGTAAAAAAACAAAATTGATATTCCACTAGACAGAGTATCTAATGGCTAATTTTAAAACAATGGGCGTTTGTAATTTAGAATATGAAAATTTGAATTTGAATGAGTCAGAATCTGAAAGATCGATTTTATGATTCATTTCCATGTTCTTTTAATCTATACGGCTCTGTCATAGGAGATCGATAAAATATAACATAACAAATCGATACAATATAAGAACTTTTATAAGATCATTTTTCATATATTTTATTATATTGTATGGAAGGAAACAAAATCCATTTTGTCTGGATGTTTTACTAAAAAGCCCCTCTTTCTGAATTGTCAAATCCTATATTGTCTACTTGTTTGGACCATTAATACACATGATGTGACAAGGCCCATTTTGGTCAAACAAGATTTCAAGAGAAATGACAAGTAATA